ATTGCTCAGGGAAGGAGGAGCCTGCTCCTGACAGCCCTGCTCTCTGTGTCTCTGCCTCTCCGCCCTGGGGCCCACTGCTGTTCACGAGTCTCCCTCCACGCAGGCTCCCTCCATGCAGGCGGGAAGCCGCGAATCACAGCACTTGGGTGCTTTTCATTGAGTGAAGGGGTTGAAACTTGGGGCTAAAAGGGGGAGTTAGATAGAAAGGCATTTACAAATATATTTTAAAAGTGGGTTACAACACAGTTTGTATCATGCAATTTTTTGGAAATAAAACCCTACATATATATTTAGATTGACAGGTATTTACAGAGAAAGGTCAGGGAGGAAATACCTTTGCGTGGGATTATGATGTGTTTTTTTTAGCTCCCTGTGTACACCCAGTACAGGGAGTTATATTTTCTGCAGCAAATGACTGTTTGTACACCAAAAGGTGTACTGCTTTTGTAATAAAAACAAATATTATTTTTTATTTTAAAAGATGGGTTTGGGACAACTCATGATGTCAGTGGTTCAAGCTCGTTCTGAGTCTACTGCTTTGTGTTCCCGAAGCAGGATACAGCTCAGCACATGAAAAGCAAATCCAGCCCTTTGATGAAAGCGGGTGAGATCCCGAAAGGCACCTCGTCACTTCAGACGGATCCACAGAGGTGCCTGAGGGGACGCACTGAGATTGAGAGGAAAAAGGGATGCTGCTTTTAGAGGGCGCCTTATAAACAAGGATGCTAAGTGCTCCTTCATGTAACACTCACAAAGCCATTGCCTCTCTCCTAGCTTCACGCAGCAGTTCTCAAGTTGTGGGCCCCAAGCCAGTACCATCAGCATCACCTGGGAGCCTGGATTATGTGGTTGGGCCCAATGTAATCACATGCGCCCTTAAAATGAGCGGTACCGCTGGGTACCTGCCACCCACCCAGGCCTCTCTTGGAAAATGCTGGGTGTACACATGGGGTGAACTTGGGTTCTCAGGACTCGGAACTGGACAGCGACACAGAGCTAAATTCTTTTTTTTTTTTTTTTTTAATCCTCACTTGAGGATATGTTGTTTTTCTAAAAACTGATTTTTGAGAGGGAGGAAGAGAGAGACAGACAAACATCAGTGTGAGAGAGAAACATTGATCAGCTGCCTTCCTTACGAGCCCCACTGGGGATCAAACCTACAACCTAGGTGCGTGCCCTGGCTGGGAATCAAACCTGCAGCCTTTTGGTGTAAGAGGCAATGCTCTAACCACCCGAGTGGCTAGGGCCAGAACTGAATTCTTAATACCACAGTTACCAGGAGACTCTCCTAAGACGGAGTCTGTGGATTTCAGGGCTGACATCTTTCCTCTCCTCCTCTGACCCCTCATTGCTCTCCTTAAAAGATACCAATGTACATTCTTTTCTTTGGAAAGGGGTGCTAGGATTGTCCCCAAGGTCCTTTACAGGTGGCTCAGGTGGGGGTTCTACGCAGTGGTAAAAACATGGACAAGGGGACCAGGCGGAGCTGGGTCTAGTCCTGGCTCCTCACCTCTCAGCTCTGTGACCTTAGGAAAGTTACTCAGCTTCTCTGGGCCTCCGTGTTCTCTTCCCAAATGGATTAAAAATACCTGCTGGGTGAGGTTTGTATGAAGATTAAAAAGATAACACATCACAATATGCCATTAGATTGAACCATAGGGAAGTGCCAATAGTTGATCTTTTTTGAAAAATATTTTAAAAATATGTTTTCATTGATTTTGAGAGAGGAATGGAGAAGGAGAGATAGAAACATGGATGAGAGAGAAACACCGATTGACTACCTCCTGCACGGCCCTGACTGGGGATCGAGCCCCAAACAGGGGCATGTGCCCTGACTGGGAATCGAACCGGTGACCTCTTGGTTCCTGGGTCGATGCTCAACCACTGAGCAATACGAGCTGGGCAATTTGACCATTTCTGAACTCTCCAAACAGCAATTTCCCACAGTTAAAATTAATCTCTAATTTCCTAGGTTCTAAAATATCCTAGAATTAAAGGCCGCTTTTAGGAAGAGAAAAAAACCTCACTGCAATAAACATGCACATCCATTTTTAAGACCCGTTTCAGGCTGAGAAATTCAAACAGATGAAAAAAGCCTGACTTCAAAATCAAGAGAATGTGGAACTACTGTTACTTTCCAGGGTCACTGGTAGACAGGCCCCTGCCCTGTGGATGCGCTGGGCTGACCTGTCAGCATGACCCTCTCTGTGCTGAGCGCGCCTGGAAAAGGCATCGGCGGGAAGGCTGTGTGGCCCAGGGGATTCCCATGAGGCCGGCCCGTAGCTCCAAGTCTGTCACGCGCCCTTGGAGTTGGGTACAAGATGAAATTGAACACACAACGAACTTAAAGTGCTTTTAAGTCATCACCCATTTATTTTGATATGGGCCTTCCACTCATAGCAATTGATAGGGCTTTCTGCTTACGGTAGTAATATAATGTTTCCTTTCTAAATACATTGAGGGGAAGGTAAGATGACTTAAAAGAAAAATATTAAGTAAAGAATAACCAGTGAAAATATCCTTTCGGAATGAAAGAGAAATCAGTCTCAGATGAAGGAAAACTAGGAGAACTGGACACCAGAACTACCCTAGAAGAATGGTTGACGTTCTCTAAACAGAAAGGAAAGAATGAAATAAGGAACCTTGGAACATCAAGAAGGAAGAACATGGTAAGTAAAAATCTGGACAAATATAATAGCCTTTTTTCCCCTGAGTTTCCTAATTATGTTTGATGGTTGATGCAAAAATTGTAATGCTTCCTGATGTGGTTCTAAATGTATATAGGTGACATATTTAAAGATGGTTATGTCATAAATGGAAGAGGCGGTAAAGGGACATAAAGAGAGATAAGGTTTCCATATTTCATTGGAACTGGTAAAGTGACACCAGTAGACTTCGATATTATGTATATATAATATAATACATCAAGCAACCACTAAAAAAGCTATATAGTGAGACAGTCTCCAAAACATTACAGGCAAATAAAAATGGAATTTTAAAAAAATGTTCAGGTAGTCCACAGGAAGGCAGGAAACAGACAGAGAGATCACACAGAAAACAGAGAACAAGATGGCAGACTTAAGCCCTAAGGTATCAATAATTAAATAAAATGTAAATGGTCTATAAATTTCAATTAAGAGACAGAGATTGGCAGAGTGGATGAAAAGACCAGCTACCTACTTTTCTAAGAAACTTCAAATATAATGATATAGGCAAGTTGAAAATAAAAGGATGGGAAAAATATCACACAAACGTTAATCAAAGGAAAGCAGGAGTGGCTATATTAATATTAGATTAAGGAGAGTTCAGAGGAAAGACAATTAGCTGAAGCAGAGAGGGGCACTACATAGTGACAAGGGGGTTAATACACCAAGAAGACACCAAACAACAGAGCTGCAAAGTATGCGAGTCAAAGACGGATAAACGAAAAGGGGAGAAAGACAAATCTAACAATTATAGTTGGAGACTTTAACACCCCTCTCTCAACTGATAGGATAACTGGGGGGAACATCTACAGGATATAGAAGGGCTCAGCACAGTCATCAGCCAAAGGAATGTTATGGACAATTACAGAATGTTCCACTCAACAACGGCAGAAAGCACATCCTCTCAAGTGCCCACAGAACCTATCCTGAGATAGGCCAGGTTTGGGCCATATAACAAATATCAAATCTTTAAACGAACTGAAATAATACAGAATGTGTTCTCAGACCACAATGGAATCAAACTAGAAATCAATAACTGAAAAATCCCCAAACGCTTCAAAACTAAATAACACACTTTTAAATGACCTATAAGCCAAAGAGCAAGTTTCAAGGGAAATAAAAAAGTACACTGGACTGAATTAAAGTGAAAATAAAAAAACATCAAAAATTGTGGGACACAGCTAGGGTGGTGCTGAGAAGAAAATGTATAGTATCAAAGGCATGCATAGGAAAAAAGGAAAAGTTTCAAATAGATAGTCTAAGTTTCTACCTCAAGAACCTGGAAAAGCAAAAGCAAAATAAACGCACAGGAATATCGCCCATGCTTGGGGAACGCCTGACTTCGCAGAGCCACGGGAAATGATTCCCTTTCTCCCCTACGTGGGGTGTAAGTGATGTGTAATACCATATTTCACCAGTAGGGTTCGTCGTTGAACCCCCATAGAAGAGCAAACCGGACTCTTGCAATCCTTCCAGATTCCTCCTTCCTACCAGGAGCTGCCCCATCCCTGGGTCCCCCCATCCTATGATCGGTACCACTACTGGGAGCAGGCCCTGGAATGCACATCCCGGCAAAGGCCCCTCCCTGCTTCCCTGCCCCCAGCTGCTGTCGTCAGAGCTGTTGGCTGCTCTTCTTGGGTAGAGGCTGGATTGGGCCAGGAGGGGGCTGGTGGGGTGCTGGCGAGGCTCTGTTTTTGGTCTGGGTGCTCATCACACAGGGAGCTTTACCTTGTGGAAATTCATTTGTTTCTAGAGTTATGATCTGGGCACTTTTCTGTATTATATCATCCTTCAAAACAAAGTTTACGTAAAAAACCCCATAGATCAGGTTTACTTAAAACACAAGATGCTTCAGTAATTTCTGGAATGCCCGCTATATCCTGAAGAAAGAAAGAAAATAAAAACCCAAACCAATTAGACCACCAGGCCCTGGGAACAGAACGAGGAATGTTTTTCACAAAGGTGGTTTCTTAGGTAATTTCGGGTGAAAGCCTTTTTATTTATTTTCAAGTTGGGGGGTGAGGGGCAGGGAGCATTTGGTTTTGAAAAGCTTCCAGCAGGTTTCACTCTAAATAGAATTGCTGAGGCTCATTACTGGAGGCCGGCACACCTGCTCCCACTTTAGGTCTCAGTGGGGCCTGACATCAAGCATAAATCCAGGCCGCGGGGGCCGGAGCCGCTGCGCTGAAGACACGCTAATGAGGGAGACCTAATGGGCCTTGCTGGGGACCCCAGGCCAGGTGCCCCAGGCTCAGAAAGCAGACAGGCTGGCCGGCGCGCTGCTGCTCTATTGTGGGCCCAGCCCACCGCCGGAAGGGGCAGCTCCACGCTCCCCTCTTCCCCCTGGTGGACAGCCCATCGCCCTGGCCTGGTGGGGGAACCCGTGTTGCCCTCCTGGTTCAGAGGCTTGTCTGCCCTGTGACTTGTTTCCATTGTCTTAGAGGGACCCCAGAGCTCCACCAAGCCTGTGCTGGGACAGACGTTGTAAGAGGCTGGTGCTAGGGCCAGACTGCCTGGGTTCAGTCCCAGCTCTGCTACTTAGCCACTGTGTGATCTTGGGCAAGTGAGTCACCCTACCTGTGTCTTGGTTTCCCCAACTGTTAAATGGGGATAATAATGGTATTTGCTTCAAAGGTTGCTTGTGAGGGTTAAATGAGTTAATCCTTATATTGTGCTTAGAATTGTGCCAGGCATATGGCGAGTGGAAACTACATATTTTAGCTTAAAAAGATCCTCATTTGTGTCTCGAGACAGTTCATTATAAAAAGGGTTCCAACGTCAGGGGAGTTTGGGAAATACTTGATTGCCTCTGTGAATTAGGCTATTCAAGGCTCTGCAGTAGAGAAATGGGGATAATCCAATGTTATCCTGAGGGTCTGATATTCAGCTGGTTACATGTGGTTTTCATGGGCTCCTTGGTACCTGGGATGCATTGGGGTGTTAAATATGTTGATATAATCCCTGCTGAGGGGATGGTTCTGAGGGGATGGTTTCTACAGAAGACTCCTTGAGAAACAATGGAGGTGGCACCTCCCCTGGTGAGGCCATGGTTATGACGGGGATTATAAAGTACCCACTCAGTGGCAGGGACAATTTGAAGGGCACTGACTCATTTAATCTTCACAAATCAGCCTAAAAGGTTAAATACAGTTATTTTCTCCATTTTCAGGTGGGGAAACTGAGGCAGAGAGAAGTTATGTCACTTGTCTAGGGTCGTAAGGCAAGCAAGTGGCAGAGCCAGGCTTGAACTCCTATAGTTTGGCTCCAGAGCCCATACTCTCAACCACTGTGCTATCCTGTCTCCTGTGGCCCACCGAGAAGCCTTGGGGTATGGGATGGTTGGTGCCCAAACTCCTCAAAGTCTCTCAGGCAAACTGGTGCCCCCTGGTGCTTCCACAGCCAGTGGTGGGGCATTTGTCACCCCTCTCCCCCACCTGGGCTCTCTACCCCATGGCTGGCTGGGGGATGGGCATGCCACAGCTGTCTATTGTCAAAGTTCTCCACACACACACAGTGCCACATGGCCCACTGTCCGGTGATGGGTGTCTGTATGGTATCATCAAACAAGTGACCCCAAAGAGATTTTTAAGAACTGATCACACAACACCCAAGGGTTGGACTGGTGTTTGAATGGGTTGTATCGTTTCCCTGTTGCTGTGAATGCAGGTGTCAGCAGGAATTAGGAGGCCAGTGAACAAGAGGTAAGTCTCAAGGGGTCAGAGTTGGGCTCACCAGATCCTCTGCACCTGAAAAGCCTATCCTAGGGCTTGGCTTCCAGTAACCTTGACAGGGCCTGTACCCCATTCATATAGGGCGCTGCACCCGTGTCCCTCTTCCTGGTGGATTCCTATCTGTCTGTCAGGCCTGCTCTAGTCCCAGCAACACCTTCCCTGACCTCTCAGAGCCTGTGCCGCTGAATTTGACTTTGTTTCATAAACCACCTCAGATGCCCTTGGGGCACATGTGTGGGTTTTATTTTACCAGCTTCTGTGCAAATTCCCTGGGCTAGGACATATGTGCCTAAGTGCCTTGGAACATAACAGCTGCTCAGCAAAACAGCTGCCCCACAAATGACTGCACAAGTGGCTTGAGCCAGTTGGGGTACACAAGCCACCAGTGGCCGTGACCACAGGGATCATACCTGAAGGGCAGGGTCAGGTTAAGGGACCCCTGAGAGGGGGAACCTCCAGCCTAGCTCTCTGCAGACGACCCAAAGGCATCAACCCCCTCGTACCTTGCTCGCTTTCAGGATCTCAAACATCAGGGGCAGGCCTTGGGTGATGAGCTCCTCCGTGTACTCTTCCTCCTGAATGGTCTTGAACTCCTTCAACAGGCACTGGATGAGGGGCCTGCGGTGCTGCTGGAAGGCGATCCGCAGAGACTCCAGCCACGTGTGCAGGGTCCACGGGACACCTGGGAGGAGGGGTGGGGAGGAGAGGGCAAGGCAGAGAACAACCGAAAGAGAAGGCATGTTTTTATCTAAAACTTGGCCTTTTCCCAGGACATTACCAAATTATGAGGCCAACAGACAGACTTTCAATGAATAGAGCCAGTGTTGATTTTCCCCCAAAGACTTGCAGAAGTTGAAATTAAAGGTCATAATTCAATTCCCTTAAGTACGGGTGTCTATTTCTTCATGCTACTCATATTATTAGGGGCTGCATTTTACAACCTATAATCATGGTGTAGAATACTGGAATTATTATGCACACGACTTAGGCCTATGACATACTTCTCAGCGCTGACTTCATTGGTCTCCATCCCCTCTACTGTCTGGGGAGGGAGACGCTCAGGGAGGGGCAGAGTCTTGCCCGGGGTTGGATACCACATCCACGCCCAGACGAGAGCTGAGGGCTGGTTAAACCCTCCAGCGAGCTTCCCCATCTATCACTCCGGCTAAGATGGATGCTTCCATCTGCATCAGAAGGCATGGAGGACACTGCTGCTGCTCCCCTATGCAAAACAACATTTCCGTCTGCAGCCACTTCATCAGGGGGCCGCCTGTTATAGGAACCTCTCCAGCATCTGAGTGCTGTGCTGGTTTTCTCCCCTCTCATGGCGAGGCAGGGTGTGCATCTCCCTACTGTGTACAGCAGGCCGGCCTTTCAGAGCCTCGGGCTGCGTCACCCTTGCTAAACAGGCCCGCAGAGCCATGGCATGAACAGCCCACATACTAAGCAGCCACCCGTGGGAGGCCCGTTTCCAGAACAGCATCAGGGTGCCCGTCCACAGGCCTCAGTCCACCTTGACCTGCCACGCCCTGTGTTTAAGGCCCACGCTAGGTTCCCTTGCCTGGGCTAATGCCACTAGACTGGGGAGGGCCAGGCTAGCCTGTTCCCCAGATGCAGGAGGGGATGGCTGTGGGCTGGCTCACTCGGGGAAGAGCCTCCCCAAATCTTCCTGAGAATGGTTCTGCCCCCGAAGCTCAGTGGGTGGAGCCCTAGTAAGGAGGCTTGTCCTTGTCCCAGCCACTGCCTGGCCGCAGCTTTGTGATTTGTGTGCTCTGAGCAGTGACTCCCCAACCACTGGGAACCACCTGGGATGATTGTTAAATATAAAGATTTCCAGCCTTTACCCATCCAGACCCTTGACCGCAGAGCTTCTGGGTGTAGGGCCTGGCAATGTGTATTCAGACAAGCTCCCAGGTGATTCACACTCCTAACTTCCCAGGGTCCAGAGCGTGGGAATCATGGAAAGGTGACCTGAGGATAGGGCTCTGGGGCTGGCAGGATGCTGCTGTCGATGGGGACTGTAGGGGTGTCTCAGCCTGGAAGTGCTCCAGCCAGCTATAGAGGGGTTCCCTGGGCTATGTGTGTGTGTGTGTGTGTGTGTGTGTGTGTGGGACCTACAGCTGGGCAGTGGTGCCATGCCCAGTGGGGGAGGGTGCCCAGACTGACCTATGCTCCTGATGTCAATTGTGACATCCACGTAGCCATGCTCAGCGCTGTGATACATGGCCTCTCTCAGGGCTCTCAGTTTGGCCTTGCTGCTGCGGCTGGCGCACAGGGGGGGCGGGGCTGTCTCCGCCAGCTCAGTCCCCTCGGCCAGAATCTCCTCCAGGGACAGGATATCACTCTTCTCCTTCTCGGGCTGAGCGAGCAGTTTGCGGAACACGTTCCTGTCAATCATAAACCCAGATAGGAAGACACTCAGAGGAGGAAGGGCTCTGCCGGCTGGGGGCAGGTGGGGACAACTCGCTGGGAAAGGGAAGCTGAGGGGACCCACTCTGGGTGATGGCTCCGGGGTTCTGACCACCGGCGCTGCGTTCTGGGGGTGGAGGAAATAGTGGAGCATGGCCGGCCGTGTTTGCTCAAGGACACTGGGAGCTAAGTGTTTGCCTCGAATACCTAGCAGGCCCTGGAACTCTGCACTCGCCCATTAAAGCAAATTAATGCATTTGCTTTAATCGGGGTGACGTGTAATAAAACCCGACGGGGTAGAACCCGACGGAATGGTAGACGGGGAGTAGTCAAACACGAGGATTTATTCTCTTTAAACTGGGCTCTTGTCGCTTCACTTCAGAGGCGGGATGTAGCCTCTGGGAGGTGGCAGCTGGCCGGGAGAGGACAGCAGGGGCCAGCCAGAGCAGACCTGTGCGGCACGAGGCTGGCGCTCAGCGGGAAGCCGGCAGGGAAGGCGACTCTGGCCGGGCGGGGCTGGGGCCTGCACTGCCTCTGGGCCCCACATCCAGAGAGGCAGCGGGTCTGGGGTAGGCCTGGGAATCTGCATTTTTAACAAGCACCGCTCGGGACCTGGTGGCTCTGGCCCATCCTAGCCTACCTGTGTCCGTGGGCTGCGGCCTGGCTGAAAGAGTTCATATCACCCTGGGGGGTGGTAGAAATTCCATTCCTGTACATGGTTCCTATCAGAGGGTCCGCACCACGCTCCAACAGCAAACTAACCAGCTCAAAATTGCCTGCAAGCCCAGAGAAGGGGTTTTACAAGAGAATAAAGCAAATATATGGTCACAGACACATCAAGGGCCAGGGCGGTGGAGACCCTCGGCCTGGGTGAGAACCAGCCACTCTTACCTACGGCGGCTGCGAGCTGCAGGGGCGTTTCCGAGTAGTTTTCCTCGCCGTGCTCCACGGAGCCCTCGACCTTGGCCCCTGCGTCCAGGAGGAGCTGCAGAGGAAGAGTGGCCATTGAGATGTTTAGAGGACATGCGCTGCGAGGAGGTATCAGAAAAACGTGGACATCAGTGCGAGGCCAATGTGCCTGCTCTCCCTCTGGGTCAGTGACCACGTGCGCTGGGCGAGGGCAGTTGGACCTTGAGGATGAACTAGGAGCTGCTTCTATCTGCTAGAACCCGAGGCGACTCACAGTGTGGTCTACGACCAGCAGCAGCATCGCCTGAGTGCTTGTTGGAAACACTGGCTCTCAGGTCACCCCAGACCCACTGGACAGTCTGCATGTTAGCAAGCTCTCCAGGTGACTGACATGTATGTTAATGTTTCTAGAAGCACCAAGAGAGAAGCCCATGGAACCAGAGGGCTGGAAGACTCCCTTGTTGGGCTGGAGAGCATTAAGGGGGTCTTTGCTAAGAGTTCTGAAGGACTCTGGAGACCACCTGGGCCAACCAGGGCAAGACTCCCTTCTAGAATGCCCTGGAGAGCTCTGAGGACAGGTCAGTGAAGGCTAAGTTTCCTGGCCAGCTGATCAATGAATAAGTGGCAGAGTGAGCTTCCAGGAGCTTTGCTTCACAGGACTGATTCTGTGCATTCTCTAAGACATCTGTGCTTCTTAAAAATCCACGCCAGACCTCACTCACAGTGAATGTGCCGTCTCTGATGTGGAGTGGAGTGCGGTAAGGGGGAATCTGTCTTCTTTATCACCCGGGGGGCTCCCTGAGGGCACAGCCAAGAAGGGCTGCACCCCTGGCATTCCATGACCGGTGCCCCTGCAGTGGAGAGGAGGCCTGACTTCTCTTTGGCTTCGTTTGGCTGCCCACTGCTCCTATTCCTGATGTAAAGGCTGGGGATGCAACTGCATGTTAAAGGATGGCATCTGCATCTGCCAGGCCACCCCCTGACCCCTTCTTTCTCAGATTCCTCTACTAGGAGTGGACTGGGCATGACGTTGTACAGGCAGGGGCCAGGTCTCAGTGTAACATGTCACACACTCAACCTCCTGAAACATGACTTTGGATCTGTCTTCAGGATCCCCATGACCTAGGAAACAACAAAGGATTCCTGTGGAATTCCAACATTGCTCAGCGGTCCCTCGTACACTATTCACTGTTCTGCATTAATTCTCAAGAGGCTTAGACCACATAAAAGGAAGTAAGTTCCTGATATACCCGAAGCTCAGCACTCACTGTGGGGTCAGGTGTGATCACAGACGTGGGTGCTCGTCTCTTTTTTCTGATGAAATCAAGATCATGTTTAAGATCTAGAATGTATTGGGTGGCTAGTCACTGAACGCCAACTCTACAACAGCCAGAAGAGGTACAAGTGACACACACTTATATGCCCAAAGGACCTCGGACAAGGACATCTCTCCATGGTTGGGAGCTGTCTGGAGGACACGTGCGAAGGCCCTGTCCTAGATCTCCTGGATCTGAGTCTCAAGAAGTGGGATCCAAGCAAGTGTCATTTGGAACCGTTGCCTTGGCGACTTGGATGCTTCTTTCCACTGGCTGGAAACCACTAGACTCTACACAAACACCGGGGTAACACCTAAGGGGAGGTTCTAAGGTCTCACACCAGCCAAGTTTTGTGTTCATGTTACGACAAATAAAATGAGCCGATCCACAAAAACCACAGCTCAGGCCCCACCCCCGAGCGTCCGGGAACAACTTCGTAGGCTGGCCACTGTGTGTTGTGCGAGGCTGCATGTGGGCATGTGATAATTTCATATTGGTTAAAGCCGGGCCATATAGATCATTACATATAATATTTTCACTCATATGATATGAATGTGCTATATTTAACTGCAATTAACCAATATGAACGTCTTAGCGATAGGCATGCTGGGAGAGGTACAGATTTGCATAATGGGGAGGTAAAATTAAAGGTCAGGTGTGGATAGGGAAATATGTTAATACCTGAACTACAGGAATATGTCCATGCAACACAGCAAAAGTCAGAGCCGTCCAATGGCGGGTCTCGGGGTGGACGGATGGATATTTATGAGGAGTACTGACAACCTATAAACAAATCGAAGTTATTTTCAAAATGTGACCTTCATGATACTTAGACTAGCAAAGCTGCCCTATCTGTGCTGGGCACGTGGTAAAGGTGTACAAAGAACATTCTGGAAGGTCCCTCGGGAAATGTTGGTGATGTGGGGTGGTGGGGTTAAATAAGGGCTCCTTTGCTTCTCATCTGAAAGCAATTAAATGGGTGACCTCTGACCACCTCAAGGTGGTGGAGAGGCTGTAACGGGGCTACAACGAGCCAGCTCCCCTCCTGGCTTCTCTCTCTGCTTCGGGAAAGGTGGCGGTTCTGAGAACTACAGAACGTCAGATAGTGTGAGATGCCACTGCTATCTCATCCACACCTTTAGGGGGAATTCTCGGTGGCAGCGAACCCCAGGCAAGGGAGGTCTGCTTCGAGCTTTTGAGCCAGGGAAGACCACCATCTGATGGAGGAATGTCACCATCTGGTCACAGCTCACCCACACTGTCCTCATTTCACTCTTCTGCTGCCTTCTGGCTGACAAAGACTCATGTTTCTGGAAACTGGGCATAAAAACTTCCCTGAAAGCACCATGAATGAGCGATCTGATATTGGTCTTTTGATATGGGGGCCTCAAAACTCCCCTGGCCACGAGAGAGGTGGCTGAGCAGCTGAAGGTTGGGGTCCTGCAGAACTGGCAACCACACGTAGTTTTTCTCCCAAGCATTCCTGGGGCCATGTCACCATGATGTCTGTTTCATTCAGAGGAGTTGAGTTCACTCATCACCTGCCTGGGGAAGCCTGGAGCTGGGAGCAGTGGGATGGACTAGGGAGGACCAGTGAACCCCACCAGGAACCAAAGCTCAGGAGCCCTTGCAGGGTCTGCACGGTGCTTAGGGATTCATAATGGGGGGGCGATCCCTAATAGTTGAAACCTGTATGATCCAAAATAGTTATGGATCCCAAACTATGCCTATTGCCTTCCTCAGATGAATATAAAACTCATTAAAAAACCCCAACACCAAACAAAAACATTTCCCCCGAACCCACAGTACTAAAACTACAAGCGCATCTAATTTTGAACTAAAAAGGTTTCCCAGGGTTGCTGAGTTGGGACTGTGTGGCATGCCGATTTTCCTAGTTTCCAAGGCTGCCAATACCTGCTACTGGAGAGAGTGGGTCTTAAGATAGCATTGAACATGGTCAAAAAGTGTGACATCACCTATGACAACCCTCGGGAGGGGAGGAAACCAACATTAACTGAGTCTCATATTTATGCCAGGTCCCCTCTGTATTTTCTTCCAACAACTCTGAGATGGGTGTGATTACTCTCCCATTTTGCAGATGGGTACACCGAGGCTCAGAAACCACTTGCCCAAGCACAAAAGCAAGACACTAAGGGACAGACAGTTTCGGAATTTGAACCCCAGTGTCAAATTCCAAAGCCTGTTGGGGTGTGCTTTCTGCTACAGCACACTGCCCCAAGGGAGCTTTGCGATTAGCCTTAAGGCCTGTGGCTTCCACTCTGCCAGCCAGGTGAGCCAATCAGGATTT